AAATGTATGTATATATATATGCTTTGATCTAATAAAGATACCGGCGAGGCTGCCAATATATAAAAAAAAAAAAAAAATATTATAACATTAAAGCAAAAATAATTATAAAACATGATTAATTTTAGGAAAATAAAAAAAAAGTACTCTTTTACTTTAAAGAAAATTTTAACAGGAATCTAATAAAAGTATTTTTACTTGTATATTTTAAGTAGTTCAAAAGTTATTTCAGTTTAAATTTTACATCAGTTTTTACTATATATTGGAGCTGCAGATTATGCAGATCATCAGAAAAATTTTGATTAGTAAAAATTATTATGCTGTTTACTATTTTATATTTATTATATTATTTCTTATCTTAGTAATCCCTGGCTCAATACTAATTGTATACTCTGTTTCAATTCTAACAATAATAAATTACAACTAATATAAACTGTATTTATCAAATAAAATTTAATTAGATATCTGACTAGATTATTTTAATAAAACATACCTCAATACTTTTTGTTATTAATTAGAGTAATTATTATTTTTGATACCTATATAATCTAAAGTGTTATATATAATTATGAGCATATGATCTAATTGATATTATTTAATATATATTAAAAAATTTTACTATAATTGATACAAATAATGCAACAGAGCGCCAATAGCACCCTACTTTACTTATATAAAAGACAATCACAGAAGTGAATAAAATATAACAAAAATAGCATGCAAAACTTATAAAGCATTAATTACAATTAGTTATTTGTTATTTCACTCTTAAACTTTGTTATATATGTATATAATCACACCCTAATTTCTAATACATATAATTTTGTACTATTGTATAAATTCAAATTATTGTATTTTGCAAAATTCTGGATCTATTAATTGTTGAATAATGATCATTTATCTAATAATCACAATTACAATCACTTAATAACAATTCTATTTTATTAATAAAATGTAATTGTGATGATTAGATAATGATTATTGCTCAAACAATCAATGAAAACCAGAATTTTGCAAATAATTATATATATATGTATATATATTATTTTTTTATACTGTGTAAGTTTATTTTTTGCATAAATTAAAATAATTGTTAAATAAAATATAAATATGATATCTTTTTTTTTTTGTTAATTAAAAATAAAATCATTAACTAGCTTTTTATTTAAAATAATTTCTCTTAAAAACAACTCTATAGATATAGATTTACAATCAGATTTATATATAATTTGTTAAAAAATATTTGTCCAAGTCTTATAAAATCTATTATTATATTATCATATAAACACTTTTTTTATAGAGAATGTATTGCAGAATATGATTTTAATATTTGCCTATCTTATTAAGCAAAAAATCTGCAAGATCAGTTTAGTTTTCAACAAATTTACCTAAACTCTATTTAATATATAAAACATTAATAATTAGTTGTTGCTTATAGTGTTGTTAGATAAAATCTAGAGGTTTTGCCACAAGTAAAATCAAAACTAATTTGATTTTTGACAAAAAAACTTAAATAATAAAATAACAAAATTGGTAAAATTGCTAAAGATAGCAAAACTAAAAAGTTAATAAAATTAATAAAAGGTAAGAAATTAACAAAAGCAAAAATAAAAAATAATCTTATATGTATATATAATATTGTTATATATAATGTTTTTTGACTAATAATCTAATTTTACTATATTTGATATATTAAAAGTTAATAATATAATAATTATTTTTTTTATATATTCAAGGTGAAATAATTATTTTCTTAAAATTATTAATAGTTGATAATAATTATTAATTATTTGGTTGAGTTATTAATTAAAAACTAATTAATAATACATATAATTAGTATTTTTAGATCAGATTCAAGTAGGTTTTATTAATATAGTTTAGTCTTTTCAAAATCTTAAAAAATTAAATCTTTGCTATATTTGACTTTCTCTAGAGGTTTTAGCTTATCAGAATTTTATCAAAGTTTTGCTATTTTACTAGATTTTTACTAGTTTTACTAGTTTAATTTTGACTTTCGATATTTAACAAAAATAGTTTTAATTAATTACAATATTTATAATATTAATAATCTATCAATACTATTAATTATAGTAACTACTGCATTTATTACTACTATCACAATGTCTAATACTATACCTAATATTATATTTAATACTATATTTAAAACCACAACTTATATACCAACTATTATAGCTACTACTACTTCATCTATTGTCACATTAGCTACTATAGCTATTGAGTCTACAACTATTAAGCTTATAACTACTAAGTCTATAACTACTGAGTTTACAAAAACTAAACCTACAACTACTACATCTATTACTTCAAAAGTATTAAAAAATTCGAAACAGTTGCTGGAATTATAAGAGAACTCAAAATATCATGATAGATTTGTATAATAGTAAAGATGAAGACTCTAATTATAGATAAATTATATTTTCATTACTATTATAAGATATAATTTTGTTCATATTATAATTGTTAAGCAAATTAAAATTTATTTAATATTATATTTATTTCCACTCTTTCCGACGATCCTCTGGTCAACAACAACAAAAATCGAACTACAGCAAAACGTATAGAAAAGCGATGAAGTGGATACTAAAA